ATTACCAGATGAAGTACTACCTTATCACATCCTCTCCTTGCCGCAGTTGCTCTAAGTTGCTGGGGACTGCTCCTGCTCTTGAGAGAGGAACCATGGTGCCCATACGCAAGGCTACAATCAACGATCTGCTGGCTGTGCCTGCCGGAGAATTACCAGATGAAGTACTACCTTATCACATCCTCTCCTTGCCGCAGTTGCTCTAAGTTGCTGAGGACTGCAACGGTTGAATCTTCAGTTACGTTCTTGCCAAGATGGAAGAAGAAAGCAATGGCTGGCCCTTAGGTCACCCGTAACTCCCTCAGCAACAACTACTGATTGGATCAATAGCCCACACTAGAATTACAAAAAGGGGAGAGAGGTAAGTAAGAGAGAAAGCCAGAGAGACTAGAGATCAGAGAAATCAATGAGTGTTAACAATTGGAGAGTGCACACAGCACTGCACATGACACTAATGTCATCGCGTAATTGGTCCCCGTGACATCAAAAGCTTCCCACTGCTCATATCTCATTTGAGCTCTTGCCGTCTTTTTGAGATCAATGCTGACCCTTAGGTCAATGTTGGGCCGCTATTCCAACAGCGGGGAATTACTAACACCAACCAGACATGACACTGGAATGCTAAAGGGCAAATGACAGTCCTCCTTCGTAGCAGGCATATTTTGACTTGAGGAAAGGAAAACAGCATGGTAAGTTAATTTAGACTTTGACACTTTAATAATAATATAATTTCAACTCTACTTTTAAACAGCAAAAATGAAAGCTAGAAATGAGAAATTATTGTACTAATAAAGAAAAATTTGGCCTTTTTAGACAGAGAATACTACAATGTTTTCTAAGACTACACCAACAAGATGTTTTGATTAACAAAGAAAAACTATTAAGCCGTCAACAAGATGTTTTCTAAGACTACAATGGGCTCTGTCGTAAATTTTTTTAATAATCAGAATCAGATGCAACCGTCAACGAGCTTGGGGCCCACATCATGGGGGACCATTGTTGTCGATTTTTATTTTACTTATTAAAGGCCGGACCAATACCTTGGATCCGCGATAGGCTCCCAACTTCTCTGAGTGGAGGTGGCTCCACAAGGCAAAACATGCATATATATTAGCCTTTTAACTGGTTGATTGGTGGCAAATCAACCTTTTAACTCAGTTTATGTGTAAATTAACCTCTCAATTTGTTTTTGATGGCAAATCATCCCTTCTGTTAAACTTAACATCATTAATCTATTAAGTTTTAACATTTTGTTAACGCGCAAAAGCCAAAAATTTTTTAAAAAATCAAATAATTAGAAATAATTGAAGTACACAAGTAATGAAAAAAAAGGGAAACCAGGTGCAGAAAACGATAAAAGACCATCTAATCCATTCCATCAAGATCTTGCCACATCACTCTCGGGCCCCACTCAATCCCGCGTGTAGATAATTAGAGCCACAAATTGCAAAAATTTGATTGTCTAGTAACCATGGGCGATCTGGGAGCACTTGTTCTTGATCCAATGGAGGCCCTTTCTCAAGGAAGCCTTCACTTTCCCCTTCACAATGTACACCTTATACTTGGCAATGCTTCGCTTCTTCTTCATCTCCGAATCGCTAAATCCGCACGGCTTCGGCACTCCCTGACTCGACCAACTCGTCCGAGCCGGAACCGACGGCGCATTCGAAGAACGCGTCGCGTGGATCTGATTGGGTCCTCCCACGCTAGAGATCTTCCCGCTCATAATCTACGTCCTCCGCTCCACACCACACCGCCTCTGACCCGACCTGAACCTCTCTATTTGGGTTGCCGGAGCTCTAAATGTAGACCTCGCACACGGCCTCGATTACATCCACCATTGCTCCGGTCTAGAGACGGGCTTTACTCAACCATATCTAGAGTACAAGCATCATAATCGTCGAGGATTCTTCAATCCAGAGTGGGAAGTTCCTTGAATATGATAATTTATCTAGCGAAACCTCCAACAAAGCATCCATCTCAGGAAATATAAAACCAAAATCAATGAAAGTTTCTCTCGAGGTGAGGAGAGAAAGATATATTTCAACTATTTATAATATTTTACAGCACCTTACATTGTGGCATTGATTTTAGGAATCATTGCTATCAATACCAGGTACCAGATACAAAGAATGCATAATATATTTAGTGGCCAACGGTCATATTGGAATTATTGTGGGATTCTTTTCTTTTGTGTCAGTTTGAATTCTCTCTGGAATTACTCTGTTAGTCTCCATATTTCCCTTATTTTTAGGAGCTTGACTAACTTCTTTACCGTTTCTGACTTGAATGATGTCTTCCCTGATATTGCTCTCCTTGATTTTCTCCTTATGCTTATGTCCTTGAATCTCTTCAATCTTCTGGCTTGGATTTGCTTGATTTTCCCTGGTTTGTTCTCCAATACTCCCCCTCAAACTAGGTCGTGGCATAAAGCAGAGGCCAAGTTTGACACATAACTGTTTGAAGCAATTTCTAGGCAAAGGTTTAGTAAATAGATCTGCTAATTGTGATTCTGATTTAACAAAACGAGTAATCAGATTTCCTAAAGCAACTTTTTCTCTAACAAAATGATAATCTATTTCAATATGTTTAGTTCTAGCATGGAAAACAGGATTAACAGTCATGTAAAGGGCACTTAAGTTATCACAATGAAGAATAGGAGGGTTAGAGAGTAGCAAAACAATATCAATAAAGAGCCTAGCAAGCCAAGTGAGTTCAGCTGCTACAGATGCCATAGAACGATATTCAGCTTCTGTGCTTGATCTTGTTATAGTTGGTTGCTTTTTGGCACACCAAGAAATGCAGTTACTTCCCAAAAAAGTGCAAAAGCCAGTAGTAGACCTTCGGGTTAGTGGACAACCAGCCCAATCTGCATCTGAGAAAGCATATAATTCTAGTGTGCTTTGATTAGAAATACGCATTCCATAATCAAGTGTGCCAC